TCCCAAAAACATATTTAAAATGTTAATACTTTAGATTGGTTTCAGTCATGTTATAGGGAATAATGGAACTTATTTATACCAGAGTATTAACAATGTAGAAGGACCCTTGAAATGAAGCCAAAAAGATAGGGGCTGTGGCAATTAGGGAGACTTCCAAGAAGTCTAATACTAAGTAGGGCATCCCTGCTTAATCAAAAACACTTCATTTTGTGACTGTGAGACAAGAAAACTACAGAGACCTCATCCCTAACATCCTTCAGCTCCGGAACCAATGCCAAGTCACCTAACTCCAGGTTATATGACAAAAAAAAAAAAAAAAATCTGCTTAGGACATTCTTTAGTGGGATTTGTTTTTCCGGTCACAGACACAATGACTGATTTTAAAAGAGTATCTCAACTCCCTATTGGGAGTATATGTTTTCCCCTGATTTGAAATTCATGGGACAAATAGAAAGTGTTGACTGGCATCTAGCAAGATAATTAAATATTTGAAACACCCTGAAGGAAACAAAGAGGGTATTGTGGTCAAGAGTAAGGTGGACAGGATACCATAGAAGATATATCCAGTGTATATAATAACTGCTAAAACACCCTCAAAACTCACGAGCAGAATGTAATCAGGTTTATTTTCTTGTTCAAAGTCCAACATGGATGTTCTTGGTCAAGTAGCTGTTACGGTCTAAATAGTAACTCAGATATTCCGACTTCTTCTATGCTATGACTCCAACACTGTCAAAACATGTGCTTCAAGGTTACCTTGAAGAGGAAGGAGGAAGAGAATATGGAAACGGCTCAGCCACCCTAAAGGGGTCTAGTATTGAAACATCACTTCCACTCGTTTTCCACTGGTGAGAACTACTCACACATACCTAGATGCATGGAACTGGGAAACGCAGTTTACCTGTGTCCACAAAGAGGACATTTCGGTGAGCATCTGGCCAGTTTCTTCCACAGAAGCAAAGGTAATAGTGGTATGAAGGAAGATGAAAATGAGCTCACTGGGGAAACAGTATTCAAGGAAGATGGAGCACGTGCAAAGACTCTCAGTACAAACAGTTTGGAAAGCTTGAGGAATAAAAAGCAAGTCTGTGTAGCTGGAGTTTTGTGAAAGGGGAGGAGTGGGTTAAGATGCAGATGGTGATGGTGATGGAGGCCTGGGCAAGATCACACAGGGCCTGAAGAGTTTGTCTTTTGTTCTCGAGGCAGTGAGAATCCATTGAAGGACTTTAAGCAGAGAAGTGACATAAGCTGATTTGCATTTTAAAAAGATCACATGGCTGTGTGGAAAATTACTTGCTTTGGGGACAGGAGTAGAAGCAATTAGACCAGTAAGGCAGTTACTGCAGGAGTTGGGTATCCTAAAAGCAGATGGCTGGTCAGAGAATTCACCTGGATGAGAATTCACCTGGAAGGAGGATGACTTACGGATGAAAGGTTCTAATTACTGGTATCTGTGAAAAGCTCTAGAGAGTTTTGTGCAATTACATAAATGGTTGGGTTTGGAGCTGAGCGATGTCTCTGCCAAGATCATGTTGTTTATTTTAGAACTGTGTTCCCTTAGGACTATATTATGGGAACAGAAGCTGGAGCACACCAGTAACTGCAGAAGCAGTAACTAGTTATTCGGAGAACTCTAAAAGGGATGCTGAACAAGCATGAGGCACGGATAACCAAACCCAATTTTATTCTTGTCTCTTACCACCCCTCCAAATTTTATTCACTGGGAGGTACTCTCCCTGCTATGGAGAAAAGTTGCAGCTAGGTTGTGATGTTCTTGATAGTCCTGTGATCAGTTTAAGGAGCAAGCATCTCAATTAGAATGTCTAATCCTGTGTAACAATAATCGGCACCTGTTGCAGGTTTAAATCTTTTTTTCCCCTCCCAGCTCTGCCCCAGTTAAGTCTAGAAGCCTGCACTGCGAAAGGGAGGAGGGATTGGTATGCTCTTTGCTCTCCTCAGCTCCTCTCTACCTAATCACTGCTGATTGCTCTGGGCCCAAGTGATGAGGAGAGGTAAGGAGATAAATCAGTCTGGCCTGACTGGGTATTTCTGTGCCCTGTGGGCCTGGAAGATACTTCCTCTCCCCCATTCTCACTCTCAAATGATAAATTGGCTTCCTGCTTCCTGGAAAAAAAAAAAAAAAAAATCAAAGCAACCAGAAATGAACTTCTGGGGCCCTATCAGGAACTCTGGAAGAGGGTTTTCACAATGGAGCAACCTCTTACCACTCCCATTTACCTCAAACACGCCCTCCACATTACTCAGCAATCCTTACCCCACTACATTCTAAGTTCTCTCTCATCTCAACAGCACTCGACAGCTAACAACCTGCCCATCCTCCCATATTAAAAAAAAAAAAAATCGGCTGGGCGTGGTGGCTCACGCCTGTAATCTCAGAACTTTGGGAGGCTGAGGCAGGCCGATCACTTGAGGTCAGGAGTTCGAGACCAGCCTGGCCAACATGGTGAAACCCCGTCTTTACTAAAAATACAAAAATTAGCTGGGCATGGTGACTTCAGCCTGTATTCCCAGCTACTCGGGAGGCTGAGGCAGGAGAATTGCTTGAACCAGGAGGCAGAGGTTTCAGTGACCCAAGATCATGCCACCGCATTCTAGCCTGGGCCACAGAGCAAGACTCTGTCTTAAAAAAAATAATAACAATAACTCTCCTGGTTTTACTCCTACATCTCTGGATGAACCTTCTCCTCTTCCATCACCTTTACTGGTTCATTTTCCTTTATCCATCCATGACAGGTTCCTCAGTTTTATTCTGAGCCATTTTCTCTTCTTATTGTCTTACCCTGAATATCTCATCTATTCTGACTTTAATTACCACGTCTAGGCTGCTGATTCCCAGACCCCTAGTACAGATCTCACGCATGTCCCACTTCTTGAAATCCAACACTCTGAATGGCATCACCAGCCTACCCACAGTTGCTCAAGCCAGAACCCTGGAACTTACTTCAGATTCCTCTCTTACCATCCTCGGCATCCCACCAATTCTACCTAATGAAGTTCTCCTGTCTGCCTACTTCTTCCATCATGACTAGTCAACAGTGCCCTCATCTTGTGCCCTAGAACCTGGGTTTCTATAACACCCCTGTTCTCACCCATCCCACTCAGCTGGACCCTGTCATTCCTTATCTCTCCCTAGGTGAATAAGTACACTGGCTATATCTCAAATGACAAGCTTTGGGAATATAAAGATAAATACGGCTTGAGAAAACTACAGCCAAATGCACAAACGAATCACAATGCAATATTGAGAAGCTGAAGTAGCACTCTTCACATAGTACTTTGAGAGTACAGATGAAGAATTGATTTTGCTTTGGGAGTAGAATAGGAAACAACTAGGTTATTTGGAAAGGTGAGCAAATTGCCAGTCAGATGAGTATTCAGCAGAAAGAACAGTATGTGTAGAGGCACTGTGCAGTGCCTGTTTAATGATTCACAGCCCAGCCTCCAAACATGCCCTCTGGCCTACAGCCTGTTTCAAAACCTCCATCCCCTTATTAAAGGCATTCAACTGGCTTTAGGGCCATAGAACCTATGATCTCCCGATGGGTGCTGTCAGGTATTCCTGGAAGCAAGTACAAGAGGCCATATCTTTACACCTAGACACATGGCAGACATCTTCTCAGGGAGGCCTAGAATCTATCATTCAAACTCACCTTCCCTCAGCACCTTGCCTTTAGCTTTCCCAGGACATGCTGATCTGAGTCCACTGCAAGGCAGAAACAATGGACAGACTCTTCCACCAATGAACAGCCCAATGCCCCGAACCCCACACGGCATCAACAAGTTGTTTACGAACAGAGACCCAGCTCCCTCACTACCCCTCCAAGGACAGAAGCTCAGAATCTATTAAGAGTCATTAAATAGCCTATGAAGTAAGCCTGCTGAAAGGCCTAGCCTCTCCCAGAGGCTTCCTTAGTCAACAAATCCATTCTTTACCCCTCAGCCTCCAACTAGCCTAGGGAACATCTTCAAAAAACAATAAGGCTTATAACATATAATAGTCATAGCTAGTTTACTGAGCACCTCCTATGTTCCCAGCCCTGGCTACAAATTTCCCCAGTTAATCCACACAACCACCTTGCAAGACAGAAATTCTACCATTTTCCAAATGAGGAATGTGATACACAGAGATTAAATGACTTTAAGTGCCTCTAGGTAGCAGGCCAGGAATTAAATCCAGGTCTACCTGATTCCAAAAATCCGTGCTCTCAGCCATAAACATTCCAAAGTCCCACAGGATAATACGTGTTGGGAGTGCCTTGATGCTATATGGTTCCAAAGATGGAGATGAGGGGAGAGGGGAAAGATAAACCACTAGAAATGCTCAGTACAGGGACATCCAAACAGTCTCAAGTTAGTGGCTCAGACTGACGTGTTGAGCCAGGATGTTGGCGGACTACCAGTTGCCTCAGAGTCAAGCAGCAACAGCTGCCTGTCTGCAACCTTAAAGGCCTGGGCAAACTGAAGCTGAAGGAGCAGAAACTATGAGTGAGCAGAGGAAGCTGATCTGTAGACAGATCAGATGACAGCAGAGTGGAGATAGCAGGACAGAAAGGCCATGTGGCTTCTTACTTGGAAAGAGAAGCCAAACCTAAAGATGCCTTGAATTCCAAACCATCTAATTTTCATGACACCTAAAGTGTCATGAAACAGACAGATATCCCCATGTTCTCACAATAAACTCTTTATCGTTTAGCTAGCCCCAGTGACTTTATGCATATTATAACCAAGAAGGCTTCAGTACAGCAAGTCTGAGAGGTTTTTTTTTTTTTTTTTGAGACAAAGTCTCGCTCTGTCGCCCAGGCTGGAGTGCAGTGGCTCAATCTCAGCTCACTGCAAGCTCTGCTTCCCAGGTTCACGCCATTCTCCTGCCTCAGCCTCCCAAATAGTTGGGACTACAGGCGCCCGCCACCAAGCCCGGCTAATTTTTTGTTATTTTCAGTAGAGACGGGGTTTCACCGTGTTACCCAGGAGGATGGTCTTGATCTCCTGACCTCGTGATCCGCCTGCCTTGGCCTCCCAAAGTGCTGGGATTACAGGCATGAGCCAACGTGCCCGGCTGAGTCAGAGGTTTTATCACACTTTGTCCTCGGGGTCCACCAGGAACCAGGTCTTGGCTTATAGCCAGGCTGGAAATAGTCTTCATAGTTGTGAGCCTGGAGTTTGAGCTCTGCCTCCCCTTTCAAGGAAGATCCAGAGGTCACCTGCGCTTGTAGAGACATGGATGAAGCTTCAGGCCTGAAAGTTGAGCCTTGGGTCCTACCTGAGGGGGCCCAGTCTTTTGGAAATCAAACAGGAAGAAATGGCTGTTGGTCAGGTCCTAGGGGCAGAAAAGACCCAGTGAGAACCAAATCCTCATCCCAACTCCTTAAAACACCTCCCTCTATGTACTGCCTCTGCTCAGAAAGCTTCCCAGGGCTCCCACCTCCATTGGGGAGCAAAATGTCTGTTCCTGTGCATGAAGCTTCCTTCCTGAACACTAGTATCCTGAAAAGGGCCACATGAGACAAAAACAGGTACAGACTTCTTGGGGCCCTCACCTTGGAGACAATCTTGAAGCCCAGCTTGGTCACAGCCCGAAGAAAGGTCCGAACATCCTCAAAGCGGCTGCTGACCTCAGCCACTTTCAGGAGACCCCTGAGAAGGACAGAAAGTTCTGTGTAAATGCACAGACCCATGCATGCACACATACATACATACATCTGTGTCCTGGGGGCTCTTACCCTGGCTTCAGTACTCGATTTGCCTCCTCTAAGAAGTCCCTGATGTTGGTTCCCATCAGTGAAAGGCAAAACACAGCCACATCCACAGACTCATCCTCCAGAGGAACCTGTGGAGAGTGAGAGTCTTGTATATGACACACAGTGCAGAAGAAGAAAGCCAGCACTGAGACACCAGGATGGGAAAGGGGAAGGAAGGGTTAGAGATTAGCATATGGAGGTTGGGCCTAGAGCACAAGCCAGATAACATATAAGTTTACCTGGGCCATGTCACACACAGTGACCCGAGGATCCAGAGAAGCCAAGTCAAAGCAATGCACAGGGTTCCGGATACTTGAAGCCAAGCGGCAATCTCCACAGCCGAAGTCAGCCACCACTAGGGATGCAGGCCTGAGAGTGGAAGGCAAGGGTCACATATTGGTCTGATCTGAGCCTATTACTGACCCACCACATGGCTTCTCACAGTGCCTGACCCCCATTCACCGCTGGCGAAGATCCCTGGCGATGCTGTCCACTGGCTGCAGTGGCCACTTCTTCACCTGGCTCTGGAAGCCGCGGTGGTAGACAAGAAAAGCCTCAGGGTCTTCCTGGAAGAGACGCTGTGCAGCACTGCTGGGCCCTGAGTACAGCTGTTCATTGAGGTAGCGAAATCGGGCGCCATCCAGCCGCTGTGCCATGCGGGCTCGCAAATCCGCTGCCCGAGCCTCATGGCTGTCTGTCCTGGAAACAGGAGGCACCTCTGTCTTCTCTGTGGGGGCCTCAGCTGGAGCCTGGCCTGGCACCTGAGGTGGCCGAAACTTGTTCTTATGTCTTCTTTTGTTCTTTTGCCGGTTCCGCCACTGCTTGCGGCTTAATGTACGAGGGGGTTTAGGGGAAATGGACCCAGGGCTTTGCTTCGGTGGATCATTTGTAGTACCACCCTTCCAGGCTTTGGGACCTGCAGGGAGGGAGATGGGAAGGTGCACCTGAGGCAAAATCTCTTACATTCAGGTCATGGCAAGTCATCCCAGCCATACCTCTGTCTTTGAAACAGTGACTGTGGCCTGCATAAAAGTACTTCTTATTGCCTGAGTACACCATTAACCTCAATCCTAATGGCAGTCAATAACCTCTGCTGTATGTAGAATCAGTTGACATACTCCCTACCCCTGCCCCCGACACACAGACATATACACATCCAATGGTACCTGTTTGGTCAACACCATCCCGGTGCTGGGCTGAATTTATAGGGGCATGTTTCTGGCACTTCCTCTTTCTTTTCTCTTTTTCAGCAGAGTCACTGTCAACAAGAGCCTGTTTGTGGCATTTCTTCTTCCTTTCCACTTCTTCCTCAGAGTCACTGCAAGGTGGGCCCTGTTTTTCACATTTCTTCTTCCCTTTCTTCCCTACTTCAACAGAGGCACTGGCAAACGATGCCTTTTGGGGGCATTTCTTCTTCCTTTCCTCCTCGTCCTCCTCAGAGTCACTGCTAGGTAGGCTGGGGGGATGCTGGGAAAGAGATGCTGCCTCTAGGGCCTGTAATGTGGCCAAGAGCTGCCGGCACTTGGAGCCCTGGGGGAAAACAAGGGGTGACAGTGGGCCTAAAGAGAATGGATGAGGCCTGGAGAATAAGAAGGGAGAGATGTCGACCTGATTCAGACTAGCAGAAGCAGCTGAATTCTTCTCAGTCAAGCCTGCCAGAATCCAGAAGAACTTTCACGTCACCACCCCAACTTCTGGGAAGCTGGAGAGCAGAGAAACCACCTATCCCACTTTCTTCAATGTGTAAATGAGTTAATAGAGGTTTTCCCAAAGGAAAGTGCTAAGGCCACAAGCAACAAGACCAAGGCCAGAGACCAGGAGTTCCAACCCTTCACTTTGAGCTTTTGCCTCCAGTTGATACATTCCCAAAAGAGGTAAGGAGGTTTCTGAACAGGAGGTACATGATCACACACGTATATTAAATATTTAACATGTCTCTAGCTGCAGTGTAGAAAAAAACGGAAGGGGAGAAATTGCAGAGAGGCCAGCGGCTTGGACAATGGTAATGGGGCTAGGGGATGAAAAAAGAGGAAACAAAGTAGGTCGATTCCAAGTTGGAGGCAGACTGAAGCCTAAGAAAAGCTTGAGGAAGTACGGCCCTCACATCTGAGAGGCTCAAAGGAGAAGGTGTACTGTCGAGAAGGCTGATTCTGTGTTGCAGTCCTACTGGGTAATCCTAGGCCAGGCACTTACCTTGATTCTAAGTTTCCCACACCCTCCCTTGAACAATGATACTGACAACTCTTACTTTCTCCAATCCATCCTCCACACTGTAACCAATGACCCTTTCAAAATACAAATCTGAAGAAATAATTCCATTGCTTAAAACCTTTCATTGGCTTCTATTCTAATATATGCAAAACTTCTAATCTACCTCTTGAACTTGAACAGCATCCCTTCTCATTTACTCTGTATTCCAACCACAAGGATCACTTGTGTGTGTGACTCTAACAGAACATGCTGTCTTGCCCCAGGGCCCTTGTACGTACTTTTCCCTGTCTGAAGAACCCTCTTCGCTTCCCCAACTTCTACTCAACAACTCTCTCTGACCCAACATCAGTTTCTTTTGGAAATTCTCGGATCTTTAGATCAGGACTCGCCCTCAACGGTGCCACAGGTGTCCCTCCCTGCAATACACACAGCGCTGGGATCCACCAGCGTCTGCTTCGCGGCCTGAAACAGCTCCCATCGCCTCTTGAGGGTCACTCACTTTGTTTTGCAAGGCGGCCGCAGGAGGAGGTCGTGAGATTACGGGCCCAAGGCCCGCGGCTACTGGGGCCGCCGAGGCCCACTCAGGCTCTTCGAACATGAGGGACCGGAGGGCAGGGTCGCGGAGTCCCCGATCTTCTCCACGTGCACAGTTCTTCTCTGGGAGTCGCAGCGCTCAGACGCGCCGGAACGGAGCCGGAAACCAGAGCGTGACAGCCAGGGGTTGCTAGAGCGGCCGGCGCAGCGCAGCGAACCATCGAGTTCAGCCAGCCGCGGCTAGAAGGGCACGGAGGCGGTGGGAGGGGAAGGACGGAGGCCCGCGCTGCCCAAGAGCACCAGGGGCGGGGCGGGGCCGGCGTCGGGCTGCGGGCGCGGCCGGACGGGAGTTCCCCGGAGAAGGAGCCTGCAGCCCGAGTCCCGGTGAGTGCGAGAGGACCCGCGCCCCCTGCCCACGACTAGGGGTCCTGCCAACCTGTCACCCCTCACTTCTCCTGAGTTCCAAGTAAGGAACGGAGCCAACCCTGGGAAGGACCCCCAGTCCCCTCCCCCAGCGTATACGGATCCTGAACCTCCCCACTTCCCCCAACTCTATTCGCGGATAGGGTCTAGTTGCCTACTCTGGGACATCCGTTCAGGAGACACTACCTCTTAGGAGACACTACCTGCCTCCCCTGACCCCCCTTTACCTCGCGCCTAGAGGACACAGCCGGGCATCATCCCGCAGCCACAAACTCCTTCACAGACCCCCAATAGCCGGGGACGCAGCTCAGGCCCCTTACCCCCAACACAAACACTTCTCTCCTGTGGAGGATAAAGCTTGGGGTTCATCCTCCTTCCCTGGATCACCCCACAGTCCTCAGGCGACCCTAATCCAGGGGACTCGGCGCCGGGACGCTGCTATGGACGACATTTTCACTCAGTGCCGGGAGGGCAACGCAGTCGCCGTTCGCCTGTGGCTGGACAACACGGAGAACGATCTCAACCAGGGGTGAGCTGAAGCGGTTGGTGGATGAGAGGAAGGCTAGATATCTCTTGGCTACGTGGAGTGGAGTGCTCATGTCTGGTGGGGGCGGCTGCCTTTGCTAGCCAGTGTAATGAGTGCTAAGCACAGCCTGTGGGGGGCAGAGAGTCTTCACAGAGGACGCAGTTTGAGCTGAATCTTGACTGCTGAATGAGAGTTTCACAGGCAGAGGCTGCAGAGAGCTTTCCAGCCTCAGTAAACTGCATGGGCAAAGGCTAGGAGGCAAGGCACAGAGCAGAGAGAACAGGAAATTGTCTGGAGTTCCATCTAGCTGGAGGATAGATGATCTCTGTGGGTCGGAGCATTGGGTACAAGAGGAGAAGAACAGGACATAAGACTGTAGAGGTCTGCAAGGATCAGCCAGATCATGCAAACATATTTAGGCTATAAGAAGGTCTTTATTTTAAAAGCAAGGTTTTAAAGCTGTGTAGTGACATAATGAGATTGTCCATTTTTCAGTATCATCTTGGATGCTTTGTGAAGAGCAGGTGGAAAGGAGGCAGTTGCCTAGTTCATCGTAGAAGTAATGATGTCTTGGACTAGAATTAGGGTGAGTGAAAAAGAGAAGTGATCAAATTCCAGAAGTCTTTAGGACAAAGAATTGTGGAACTTGGTGGGGAGTGAGTAAGGGCAAAGATGAGGACCAGGGTTCTGGCTTGGGAACTTGGATAGATGGTGGCTGTTTTTACTGAGATGGAGAAAACTGGAGGATGAGGCATTCTATTTTGGACGTGTTAAAGTTAAGGTGACAATGCAGCAAGGTAGAAATGTTGAGTGTGTTATTGGTTACGCAGATTTGCAATTCAGGAGAGGAATCTGACTTGGAGATACAGATTTGAGAGCTATCAGCATATAGATGATACTTGAAGTCATGGGTGTGAAGGAGAATGTCTCAGGAGAGTGGAAGGCAAGAGGTCAGGAGACAGGAAGCCTGCACGACTGAAAAGGAGCAGCTGTAAGTTGAAAAAGAAATAGGAAAATGTGTCAGTAAAGCTTAGAGAATGTTTTAATGAAGGGGAGGTGGTCAACAGCAGTTCAGGCTACTGAGAGATCAAAGAACATTAATATTTTAAAGTAGCCATTGAATTTACAATTGGGATTTTTTTTTTAAGTTCAGGGGTACATGTGCAGGTTTGTTATATGGATAAACTCGTGTCATGGAGATTTGTTGTACAGATCATTTCATCACCCAGGTATTAAGCCATAGTACCCATTAGTTGTTTTTCCTGATCCTCTCCCTCTTCCTATCCACCCCACTCTGGTAGGCCCCAGCGTCTGTTGTTCCCCTCAATGTGCAGTTAGGATGTATTTGATGATCTGTGAGTATTGTTTCAGAATAATGGGTGAAGCAATCAGACTACACTGGGTTCCTTCATTTAAGAGACTATGATGAACACCTTCTGTGCTGGGTGCCAGAGTCCAGAATCTGACATAATCTCTGCTCTCAAGACAGCAGATTTGTGGCAGATTGAAAAGTAGACCAGTTGCGGTGGCTCATGCCTGTAATCCCAGCACTTTGGGAGGCCGAGGTGGGTGGATCACAAGGTCAGGAGTTCGAGACCAGCCTGACCAACATATTGAAACCCTGTCTCTACTAAAAATACAAAAATTAGCTAGGTGTGGTGGTATGCGCCTGTAATCCCAGCTACTTGGGAGGCTAAGCCAGGAGAATCGCTTGAACCTGGAAGCAGAGGCTGCAGTGAGCCAAGATCGTGCCACTGCACTCCAGCCTGGGCCACAGAGCAAGACTGTCTCAAAAAAGAAAAAAAAAAAGAAAAGTTGAGAGGTAAGCAAATAGTGAAAGGGAATGTAGACCAGTTCTACAAGGTTGGCTGAGATAGGAAGGCAAGAAGAGCAGTAGTGATGGTGACTCAGGGTGGCAGATTCAAATTCTTTATTTTTTAAGATTGGTAGAGTTTAGTTGTTAGGTTTGACAAGTCAGGATCACCTATCATCTTAGTCTAGACTTCACTGGTTCCCATTAGGTTCTACACTATTTATCTTTAATACTTTGCAAAGTCATTTGTTCCATTTTTCACATAATTCTCAAAGGGTACCCTGATAAAGACAGTAAGCACTGTTACTATTTTGTTGGTGAGGAAATACAGGCTTAGGCAGTTGTCCAGTTGACCTAGCATCTAGGAAGACTCTAGGAAGATGTTGCCAGAAGGAAAAGGGGTGGCATTAATGAAACTGGATGGTTGTGGTGCTGGTTTGAGGGGTAAAGTATGGGGACCTAAGTTGGCTGTATGCTGGATATGAAGAAGGGGTTAATTCCTAGCAGGATTCCTTGAGATAAAAGTCCAGGCCCTGAGGTGGCAGGCAGCTTGATAGTGAACAGAACCCTTGTGCCCATACTTTTGCCCCCAGAGTTTGGCCTGCCCAGTACTGGAAGCTGATAAGTCAGGGCACAAATTAAAGGTCTAGGAGGCAAGACCAGCTGATAAACAGTGGGTGTAATGCTTCCTGGGGATATCCCACCTCTAGGGAAAGCTTTTGGCTATTTCTGTGTTAGCAGATGCCAGCAAGTTGTGGAGGAAAATGATTAAGTAAAAGGCCACACCCCCAACCCCTTCAGCTGTAGGGGCATCTGGATGGCCAGACCCCTGATCAGCTCCAGGCCTTGCCTAGAGTCGCACACAGGAAGTGACCACAGCACTAAGGCATCCGGAGGCTGCTGGCCCAGACCACGGACCGCCCCCTGCTCCACCCCTTGAATCTGCAGCCCCGAACTAGAGGGAATTTCCTTTTATGGCCCCAGGCTGTCAGGCAGGCTCAGCTCCAAACCAATTGTTTTGTTTTGTTTGTATACTTATTTCACTTTATAAAATACATATCTCTTGGAAAAGAAAAAAATAAGGTATCGTTTTCATCCCAAAACAGCCATTCTCATTTTCTTCTGTTTTCTGTGCACAGGATTGCTAAGTAGTGGAATCCTGCTTTGCATGGTGGTTTGTTATCTGCCTCATCAGTAGTCAAAAGGATTTCTCCTTTTCAATATAAACCCTTCCAAAACATCATTTAAATTCCATTCCATTTTTAGATGTTAGTTTCAGTACCAGAGCCAAATAGTAAGTTTGTTCCCTCTCTTATAAGTTGTGGCCTGCCTTGTCCAAGACACCCTTCTTCCCCACTAACATGCACCGAACAGCTGCTGGCAATCCATTACCTCACAAAACTTAAAATCTAACAGACAAGACAGTCCACTAACAGATTTTTACAATCCAGTGCGACAAGTGCTGAAGTAGGGGGATATATAAGATGTGGTGGAAAACAGAAAGAACCAATAGATGTTGCAGAAGGGGTGCAAGAGAAACCAGGGGAAAAGCGCTACCACCTAATGAAATGAGATGTGGGATATGGTGAAGATAACAAAATTTTTTATAGAGGTCGTTGAGGTACGTAGGTGGTCGGTTTGGTTTGAAGCTCAGGGGAAGGTCCAAAATGGACAGTTTTGGGAGTTGCTGGCATGAATGAGAATCAAAGTCCTAGAGAGGTAAGCCTTCCCAGAGAGTATGTAATTATCAGTTTTTCAGGAATCAAAACCTTTGCCCCATCCCACCTCCAGCTCAATGACCATTGCCCCTTCCTCAAAGGGACGATCATGGCTTCTCCCCCTTGCACTGGGCCTGCCGAGAGGGCCGCTCTGCTGTGGTTGAGATGTTGATCATGCGGGGGGCACGGATCAATGTAATGAACCGTGGGGATGACACCCCCCTGCATCTGGCAGCCAGTCATGGACACCGTGATATTGTACAGAAGGTACGTACAAACCCTTTCGTCATCCACATCACATACATGCCATGAGGGTCAGTCACAGGCACTGTAACATACAGCAGAAAGTATGTGTACTCTTCCCCCTTTTCCCGTGCCCTGACACCAGTATCTCATTTGAGGCTGACTGTACCTTCTGCCTCTTCTTTTTGTCTGGCCATGGGGTCCAGCTATTGCAGTACAAGGCAGACATCAATGCAGTGAATGAACATGGGAATGTGCCCCTGCACTATGCCTGTTTTTGGGGACAAGACCAAGTGGCAGAGGTGAGTACTCAGCCCTCAAGTCCTGAGATGGGTAGGAAGTAAAGTCAGCCTGGGTGGGAGATTTTGGAACCCTCAACCCATTCTGCCAGTACTACTGTGTGACACTCACAGGATTAAGTACTACATTTGTGCATTCATGGTTGGTTCATTGACTGCCAGCGAGGCAGCAGTGGCTCTCATCA